GGGGGGTAAGGGAGGAGGGGTTTGAGAGACAGAGAGAAAGAGGAAGAGAGGAAGATCACAGAGCTTCGCACAGCTGTCAACTACATCGTCAAGCGCGACTGTCATGTCATGACGCACTTAAATTATGCTATTTCTGCTCATCCTTGGCCCAGGTCACGTGAGCTAACCCCTCGTCGTTTCTGCCTGGACAGGACATGACCCCCAGGCGGGGGGCTGTGAAATGTTTATCTCCCCTTTCGGATTTTCCGTTCAGGTTTTTCTGTTATCTTTCGAACTTTGAAAGTGTATATATACCCTCAGAGCAGGTCTCATAGGCATACAGATCGAGAGAGACCGAGAGACCAAGAGAAAGACGTCCCCACGACTGTACAGCCATCATCCTGACAGGTATGTGTGTGAGTGTGAGTGTGTGCACAGTTGATTAACAAGGAAAGAAATAAAACAGTTTAATGGAAAAAAGTTTCAATAACTGAAAATAGATGGATAGATGGATAGAGAGAGAAAGATAGAGAGATAGAGATATAGATAGAACGATAGATTAGTGGATAGATAGATAGATAGATAGATAGATAGAGAGATAGAGAGAGGGAGAGAGAGAGAAAGAGATAGGGACATAGAGAAGAGAGAGAGAGATAGGGATAGAGAGAGAGAGAGACAGACAGAAGGGAGAGGGGGGAGAGAAAGAGAGAGAAAGAGAGAGAAAGTGAGAAAGAAAGAGAGAGAGAGAGAGAGAGAGAGAGAGAGAGAGAGAGAGAGAGAGAGAGAAAGAGAGAGAGAGAGAGACATGCCATGATCGCATAGCCTGCAGACGACAGGTAGATGTGTGTACGTTTGAATTACGTGTAGTGAAATGTTTAAATATTCCGTTTAAAGCCGTATGCTGAAGGCTAAGGGACAAGCAAAGGTGTAATATTCTTGAGTTGAGGTGGTAAATGTAGGATCCGAGAGAGACTGAGAGAGAGGCAGGGAGAGAGAGAGAGAGAGAGAGAGAGAGAGAGAGAGAGAGAGAGAGAAGGGGGATGGGAGGGAAGGAATGTGAGAGATTTAGACTGATAGAGAGAGAGAAAGTCAGATAGATTGATAGAGACAGTGTGAGAGGAAAGAAAAAGAGCTTGATAGATAGATAGACAAACTGATACATAATGTGACACAGAGAAAGAGAAAAAGAGAGAGAAAGGTAGATAGATACATAGATAGATAGATGGAGGAAGAAAGAGAGAGAGAGAGAGAGAGAGAGAGAGAGAGAGAGAGAGAGAAAGAGAGAGAGAGAGAGAAACAAAGAGAAAGAGAGTGTGTGTGAGAGAGCGAGAGGGAGGGAGCGAGAGAGAGCCTATCAAACCAACATTGGGACAATGAAAAAAGTAGGTGGTAGCCTCTAAATCTCCCAGCCATTTTTCCATTTGAGAATGCACACTCCCGCCAACGTTGACTAGCTAAAGGATATATGTGTAATTATAGCTTTAACAGTTAACCCTTGGGCGCACACATACTTCAGACAGAACGCGCTAACTTTACCCTTCCGCACACCAAAAGCCCACGCACAATTGTGAGTGAACCAGGTGACATGGCAATGATAATTTCAGTGAAAATGACAGTGACTAAAGTAATAGCAATAATGAAAGTAATAGCAATGAGAATGACAATGGCAATAATATTGACAGTAGTAATGGCAATAACAGTGACAATGACGATGACAATGAAAATGACAGTTACAGTGACAATGACGATGACAATGAAAATGACAGTTACAGTGACAATGACGATGACAATGAAAATGACAGTTACAGTGACAAT